TTTGCGGGACGCGGGCCTCTCACTGTTGTGGCCTCTCCCGTTGCGGAGCACAGGCTCCGGATGCGCAGGCTCAGCGGCCATGGCTCACGGGCCCAGACGCTCCGCGGCATGTGGGATCTTCCCAGACCAGGGCACGAACCCGTGTACCCTGCGTCGGCAGGCGGACTCTCAACCACTGTGCCACCAGGGAAGCCCCATAGCCCATTGTCCCATTTTAAGAATTATATTCTGAGGATAGAACTTGTCTTAAAATCTAGAAGAAATAACAAAATTAGCACATTACTTTTAGTTTCATTATCAATTCCTTTTAGGTCTTTATCTCTGTGTTGATCTTGTTTTGAAAATACGACAAGAGTGAATTTTATTATGTTGCTAAATTTGCTTTATTCTTTGCAAACCTTAGTAGATGAGTTATGGAATTTTTTTGAACACAACCATGATGCTAATTATTGAACAATACAACTCAGCTAGATTCTATATCTGTGTATAGAATGAAGTGAACAGGTATGTTAGAACACATCCAACTAAACCTAGATAATAAGTAAATATTTTGTTAGACCTTTTAAATGATAATTCATATGGCACAATGTTATAGTATAAATATTAACCCAATTTGCTCTTGATGAAGAAAAGTTTCTGTGAAAATAGTTTAAACCTGAAAATGTGTTTATATCCAAGCTTGACTGTTCATTAGAATCAATTGTGGACCATTTTTAAAACTTTTGTTTCTGTTCCCTACCACTGACTTTCCAGGAGAAGAAGGTGAACAGTGGTGTGCTGGTATATATTTAAAAACTAGCTGTCGGGTGGGGATGGGAGCACTGATTTGCAGTGTTTGCTGATTTCCGTGGTGTAAATACGGACTGCTACCATAGCCAATTTCAAGCTACTAAGATGATTAACATGGAATGTTAGAAAAAGATGTATAGTATTTCCATTATATAGATACAATAAACATACATAACCTAAAAGAATAAATAATATCAAAATTTAGTAAAGTAATTAGGAAGTGATGAATTTGAGTTTTCATTACCTTTGTTTTTAATATAGCTAATTATGTTTATGTAATTTAATTTTTAATAATGATTATGTTTAACAACCAGTTTGCAAAGTTTTTGAAAATTTGACAGTTGGTTCATAAAGCTGGTACAGACTGATGCTAACACAACACTGGAGCTCAGAGATATCTGTATTTTTTTAACCAACTAAGTAATTCTGATGAAAGCAACCTGCCAACCCATTATTTTTCTGAAATACAGATCTAATCCTAAGGCCCAAGAAGGCATTCCGCAGTCAGACCCAAAATGTCTTTTCCAGCTTCATTTCAAATCATACCCACTCCCTCACATCCTCTGTGTTTCACCCACACTAGACTTAGATTACTTGCAACTTCTCAAAAATACCTTGCAGTTTCCCACCCTCATGGCTTTTCATTATCTTCTTTTAGCCTTGAATAGCCTTGCCTCATCTGCCTGACTTTTGCAACACTATTTATCCTTCTAGAAATAACTCAAATGCTACTTCCTCTTATTTCCTACTGCTGGAAACAGTCCCATTCTCCTTGATGTTCTCATAGTCCTTTGTTTTTTTTTGTTTTTTTTGTTTTTGCGGTATGCGGGCCTCTCACTGTTGTGGCCTCTCCCGTTGGCGGAGCACAGGCTCCAGACGCGCAGGCTCAGCGGCCATGGCTCACAGGCCTAGGCGCTCTGCGGCATGTGGGATCTTCCCAGACCGGGGCACGAACCCACGTCCCCTACATCGGCAGGCGGACTCTCAACCACTGCGCCACCAGGGAAGCCCCTGTTTATTTTATTTTGAGCTCAAATTTATCATCAATAACAAATGGCTGTTTCAACTTACTAGATTATAAATGTCTAAAGGGTGCCTTTGAATAATACTGTACTTAACATTTTACTATCTAAAAATGTTTAGTAAGCACTTGTTTTTTTGTTTGTTTGTTTGGCCACACCGCATGGCTTGCAGGATCTTAGTTCCCTTACCAGAGATTGAACCCGAGCCCCAGCAGTGAAAGCACAGAGTTCTAGCCACTGGACCACCAGGAAATTCCCAGCACTTGTTTATTTTAATAGGAAGGATTATGGATAATGCATGATACATCCTTTACTTTCTAAGCCTTTGGGAAGCTAACCACAATTTAAACTTTTTTTGAATTAGATGACACCTTTTTTTCCTGATGATTGAGGACCATATTAGTAGTAGTTATATACCTATATCCTACACCCAGAGAATACAAAGAACATCATGATGACTTTCAAACTTGTCAAAGAAAAGTTTCATAGAGAATATACAGAGCACTTGAGAGTGAAGAAGACTAGGTTGTGTAACTACCTTTGCAAATTATTTTTATTATTCTGATTTAGTGCACTTTATAGTGTTCTCGGCATAAAACCCAAAGTTACATTATAGTGTTCCCAGCATAAAGTCACATTAAGCCTTTGTATCATTAAATAACATCGAAAAGAAGCAAACATATCATTCTTTGCTTTATGATTTGAGAGAAATTTGCTTTCATGTATGTTCTTAAGGATACATTCGTCATCAATCTGTTGCTTTCTGGCATTTTACCTAGAATTAAAATTATCCGATTACTTTCGCAGTAAGTATTAAGATCTGCATATATGAAGGAAATGTTGTTCTAAAGTAAAAACAATCCAAGAATTTCTTAAAGCAAATACAGCACATTCCTTGTTACTGGTGTTTCATAAATTTTTTTCATCTTTGACCCTAAGCTGCCACCTTATGGCAAAAACTAAAATGACAACTTTTGTAATATTCAAAACCTCCATTGCAGTTATTTGAAATTTTATGTTTTCAGCATAAAGCCTCTAAACTCTAAATGCACATCTGTACAAATTTTGTGTATTTGATGAATGTTTGATAATTATTTGAACTTCAGAAGAATCAGATTTATTATTTAACTTTTGTTAGACAATGATCCTACTAAGGAGATTTCTTTTAAAATCTTATTTCCTTTATGGAGCTGGAGAAAGAATCTGTTTTTAAATTAGTTTTATTTAATGAAGAATTTTACCTGAATCTAGTAATTTTTTTTTTTTCCCTTTTCTTTCTTCAGAACGAGGTCACTCAGACACCATAGTGTTCTTTTACCTGTGGATTGTCTTTTGTATCATCAGTTCCTGTTACACCCTCATCTGGGATCTGAAGATGGACTGGGGTCTTTTTGATAAGAATGCAGGAGAAAACACTTTCCTCCGGGAAGAGATTGTATACCCCCAAAAAGTATGTACAAAGAGTCCTTGGGTTTATTTAAAAAAGAAAAAGAAAACAACAACTCAGGTGTACCTATTAGAATATATACCCAATCCCAACCTAATATAATTAGAGAAAATACTTACCAAAAAATACTAAAATCCATTCAGTCAGCAAAAATGTATCAGATGTTTACTATATGCTAGACGCTATAGGAAATAAAAACAAAGTAAAATTTTGGTTCTCAAGGAGGCCTTAATCTATATTCTAAACAGATAAGTAAACAGATTGCAATACAATGTGATAAAGACTAGAATAGAGGAATAAATAACTTACTATCATTTATGATTTATTTTGACCATGCAATTCCCTCTGTCTCAAATGCCCTCTTTCCCCTTTGTTTACCTTGCAAACTCTTGTTCCTTCTTTTTAAGTCAGTTTTTTACTTTCTCTAAGAAGCCTTTATTTCTCCAAGCATAGTTAGCCATTCGTACTAATCCCATTTTACCCTATACAAACTTCCCTTATGGCAATCGTCACACTGTATTTTAATTACCCGTTTAGGTATCTATATCCCTCACTATCCAGCATAGTCCCTGGCATACAGGGACTTAATGTTTGTGGAATGAATGAATAAATACTTGACTGAATGAGCAGCGTTATGAAAGCACAAAGGAAAGAGGAGTGCCTGACTTTGCTTGGGTGCATCAAGAAGGCTTCTCCTTTCATTTATTTCAATCAGTTTTCCTAAAGTTCCAATTTAATCCAAAAATATATGGATAATTATGTGGGAATTATTTTAGCATCATATATATATATATATATATATGAATAAAAGGATGAGAGAGGCTGAGTTAAATAGTCAAAAGGCCAAGAGTGTCTTTACTCAGATATTGAAAGAAATTAAACAATGAACTGGGAATCCTTATAAGTGGATTCTAATCCCAGCTCTCTCACTAACTAGCTCTATAATTTCAGGCAACCAGACTACAGTGTATTCTTTTCTATAAGGTAGGGTGTTATAGTAGATTATCTCTTGACCCTTTCCCAGTCCTAAAATTCTGTGATGTGGAGGAGATTATAAATTGGGTCACTAATACTTTATACTGTGTCAGAATGTCACCAGTACCTCAGAATTGCACTTTGAAAATGCATGAATGTGTAGTATTTAATTGGTGACTAGGGAAGGCTGTTTTCAAGTGTGAGAATTAAAAATAAATGATAGGAGAGTGAATACGAAGAATAGTATATTAGGGTGACTTTGTATAAACAAATGAAGGCAGAAAAGGAGATGTTTACTGACAGTGATTTTTTTTTTAACATAAGCTGTAGCAATCCCAATGTGCAAATTTAGAATATATGACCAAGGTGCTAGATGTATCTTTATAAGTCTCATTTGGAAAGAAAATCAAAAAAAGTAATAGTAAGCACAAGTCAGACAGCAGACACGCATTCAAGTAAAGATGGCCTTTTGTGTTCACCAAATGTATGTGCCTTATTGCTCTTTGAACTGTTCTTGCCTTACTGAGAGAGATAATACGTTTATTTCTTATTATAATGGTTGCTTTGATGAGCTGTTCATATCTTTGTATAAATATTCGTTCCTCCGTTTAAATAGTTCTAACTTTTTGATTTCTATATAATAAAACTAGTTAATAGAATCAGTTTTTTTGTTATTAGATATTTTCATGACCCTAGAAAATAAAGTATATGCTTTTGTACATTATGCTTTGCAAATGTATAAGAAAAATGTTCTAGGGGATCACTATACCCCTTTCAATTTTAAAAAGGCAAATATTGGAATAAAATTTATTCTTCTTAAAAAAGGAAGAAGCTATTTGCTGAGTCCAGTGGTACTTCATTTAAAAATTAACACAGCTATATGTACCTTAAAATCAGTTCCTCGACATTAACAACGCATACTATTGAGCACCATACCCAGGTCCAGGAAGCATTTTTGTTATCTCCATATTAAAACTTAACTTTTCTGTGTCTCTTGACCTCAAGTTAAGTGTATTCCTCCCAAAAGACCTTCAATTTTTGGTAACATCAGCTCCCACATCAGTGAAGTGTGGATCTACTTGACTGGCTCTTAAAGACACATGAAATTGCAGCTCTTCACTGAGAGGACTAATAATGAGTTCACTGCATGTGGATTTATCCAAAAATTACATTATCGCTCTATTGGATGGATGGGGGAGGGAACAGGGAGATATGTTAATGTGTTAAAAATCTTCATAAAATTCATCATAGTAAGCAGTGGATAATGTTTAAAATTGATTAATCAAGATATAGCAATATACACACATTATTTAGAAATGTGGAAGATAAATAATAGAAGAAATAGCTACAAATTTTGAAAATGTTTGTCTCTAGAGAATGGGACAAGAAGGGGACTGCTATTTCTTTTGTTTAATAGGCTTCTGACATGACTAGTATTCCTTTGTTAAATTTTTTTTAAATAAAATAAGTGCTATGGCTTAATACATATCAGTTCTAGTTTCCATAAGATGTCATAACCTTTAAATACATATTTTTAAAGAGCTAGATATCCAGAGATTAATAGTGAGAAAATCCGTGAATTACAGTTCTGGTTTATTGGCAGTTTGTTTACTTAAGACTTTTGTGTAGGTAAGCGTGGACTCTCAAATACTGGATACTAGTACCTGGAAAGGTTAGTTGAGTGCTGTCTTCCTCATGTGAAAATGGAACATTCCTTAAACTTAACTATGTATGTGAAATCCAAGCTTAATTTTATTTACTGACATCAAAAAGCAAGGCAAAAATTTTTCAGATGGAGGGTAAGGCAATTTGAGAATAAAAGTGCAAATAACAGAGTTAATAAATCTGCTAATATTTTCTAATGTTAACTATTGAGTCATTAGTGTATCACATACATATTAGAGTATAATTTCAATCAGATCAAGGATTTCATCTGGTTTGTATTTCTGGGGTCTAGAAGAGAGCCTGGTATACAATATGGTAATGAAGTTTATTTGTTAAATGATTACTGAAATTCAGTAAGACAATATTTATAAATTCATTTTAAATATTGTACCATTTAAGAAAAAAAAACTAAATTGGTGAAATCTTTCTAAAATATAAAACTCTTTAACCTGTGCTTGTCAGTAGGATATGTGACTCTTGTTACTGTGCTAGGTGTGCTTATTTGTAAGAAACGTGATGGTAAGTGTACTCAATTTGCTTATTATTCCTCAGGCCTATTATTACTGTGCCATCATAGAGGATGTGATCCTGCGCTTTGCTTGGACTATCCAAATCTCAATTACCTCCATGACTTTGTTGCCTCATTCTAGGGACATCATTGCTACTGTCTTTGCTCCCCTTGAGGTTTTCCGGTAAGCAAACTACTAAAAAGTTTATCAAAGATTCTTTTTACCTAAAAAGTTGCTCAATACTTATAAATCAGAATTTATTAAAACTTATACTTGAAAAGCTTAAATTTTCTAACTTTTCTCAGACTTTTCATCAGCCTCAGAGTTGGAAAATCCTGGTTGAAGGACTAAGAGATTAATTCTTACAAAGTTAAAGTAACTGCTGATGATGACTTAGAAGCTTTTTTAGAATTGGGCTCCATTTGAACATCCAAGTGGCTAATGAACATACGAAAAGGTTCTTAACATGCTTAGTCACCAGGGAAATACAAATTAAACCTACATTTGAGATATAGCTACTCACCTATGAGGGCTAAAATGAAAAATACAGACACACCAAGTATTGATGAGGATGTAGAACAGTGGGAACAGTTGGAATTCTCATACACTGCAGGTAGGAGGAAACTAGTACAACAGCCACTTTGGAAAACTCTTTGTCAGTATCTACCAAAGCTGTGCATGAACACCTGGGTATATAATAAACAGGAGTGCTAACCTAAGGCCACCAAGACCCACATACAAGAATGTTCACAATAATGCTATTTTATAACGGACCAAAATGGAGATTACCCAAGTGCCCAGCAATATAGAGTGGATAGATAAATTGTGGTATTTTCACACATGCAAATCTATCCAGTGATGAGAACAAAAGACTAAATAACAATATGAATGAATCTCACAAAGGAAAATATTAGGCAAAAGAAGTTAGACACAAGAGTATGTCCCTGTATGATTCCAAATTTATAAAGTTCAAAAGCAGGCTAAACTCATCTGTGGTATTAGAAGTCAAAATAGTATTTGCCCTGTGGGACAGTGACTGGAAGTGGCACCAGGAGAACCTCCTTGGGGGAGGGGTGGAGTAACGTTCTGTTTTTTGATCTGTGTGCTGGTTACATGATGGGTTTACTTTGTTAAAATTCATCATGCAGTGCCCATCAGATTTGTTCACTTCTCTGAATGTGTGTTGTACTTAATAAAAGGTTTTTAAATCAAAAAAAGAAAGGAAAGAAAGAATTGGGCTTCATTGGAAGGGTCATGAGTGGAAATAAGGAGGTAAAAAGTCTTAGAACAGGAATTAGAATTGAAATCTTTTAAGAATCATTTTTTGCAGTTTAGCAATCTGGGTTATTCAGCCCAACCTTCGCAGTGGAAACAATAAAAATACCAGATAAAATGTTTTTTTAATCTTCCTAAAAACATTAGTGATCTGACAAGATAGCCCAAATGCTAAGTGAAGGCAGATATCCCAGGATAAGCAGAACACTAAAGCCAATTTTGTACTAAAGAAAATTTCCAGACCTAGAGACTTTGAGATTCATTTGTGATAGCCAATTCAAATTTGTATGCACCTAATAACATAGCTTGAAAATATGTAAAGCAAAAATTGACACTGCTAAAAAGTAAAAGTAGATAAATTTACAATTTTAGAGAAGAATTTTAACATACTTTTCTCAGTAGTAAACAAATAGTCAATTAACCAACTTGACCTAATTGACATATTTAGAGGACTGCATTCAACAAGTACTAAATACAAATGCTACACATGGAACATTTACCAAAATTAACCATATTCTGGGCTGTAAAGGAAGTCTTAACAAACTTCAGAGGAGTAAAATCACAAAAAGATATCTGAAAATTCGCAAATGTTTAAAAATTAAGCATCACATGTATAAATAACCCATGGTTGAAGTTGAAATTGCAATGAAAATTTTTAAATATTTTGAATAGAATGAAATTGAAAATGTAACAAAAGAAAAGGTGAAATATAGCTAAAGCCATGCTTAGAGGGAAATGTATAGCCTTAAATGTATATATTACAGCTCGATATTAGAAAAAGATTTAAATAGCAACTCAAACCTCAAAAAAAAGTAGAAGGAAGAAAATATAAAGAACAGAAATTAATGGAATAGAAAACAGACATATAATAGAGAAAATTAACAAAGCTAGTTAGTTCTTTTAAAAGACAACTAAAATTGTTAAAATGTCTAAATAGTACTGATCAAGGAAAAAAGGAAAGAAGGCACAAATTACAAATATCAAAAATCCTAAAGATGTTTTTTAAAAGAGCATGACAGTATTATGAGCAACTTTGTGCCAATAAATTTAGAAATTTAAGTGAAGTGAACAAATTCCTCAAAAAAGCACAATTTACCAAAACCAATAAAGAGGAAATAAAAAACCTGATAGGTTTATATGTAGTAAAGAAAATAAATCCATATTAGAATTCTTCCTACAAAGAAAACTTCAGGGAATTCTTCCACATATATGAGGAGGAAATATCAGTTTTACACAAAACTCTTTTAGGGAAATGAGACAATGAAAGGAACACTTCCCAGTTCATTTTGTGCAGCCAGAATGACTTTGATGTCTGAACCTACAAGGATATTTCTCATGTCCAGGGATGCAAAAATCCTAAACAAAATGTTGGGTAATGAATCCAACAATATATAAAAAGGATAATACATCACAACCAAGTTAGGTTCATTCCCAGAATGTAAGATGTAATATTCAAAAATCATTTAACATTTAAAAATCAATCTGTATAACTCACCACATTAATGTATAAAGGGGAAAACAACCCTCAACAAATAAAGAAAATGCCATTGAGAAAAGTCAATGCCTGTTTCTGAAAAAAATAAACACTACAAAAAAATAAATAATAAAAAAAAGATCATATTTAATGGTAAAACACTGTAAGTTCTCCCTGGAGATCAGGAATGAGATAAGTATGCGTGCTGTCACCACTTCTATTTAACATCATACTGCAGGTATAGCTAGTGCAATGAGGAGAGAAAAAGTATAAGGATTAGAAAGGAAGAAATAAAACTGTGATCATTCATTAGTGACATGACTATATATGTAGAAAATTCAAAAGAATTTACAAATAAGCTATTAGAATGAATATATAAGGTTGACATAAATTAATGTTCTAAAAAAGTCACGAACAACTAGAAAATGAAATTTTAAAAAAACATACCATTTTGAATAGCCCTGGAATGTATCAGATACCTAAAGGAATAAATTTAATGAAAAGATGTATGTATGTGAAAATTGACAAGCCAGTTCTAGAATTTATACAGTAACAGTAAGGATCAAAAATATCCAAGACTATCCTGAAAAGAATGAAGTAAAGGACTTACACTCTCAAATATCGAAACCTATTATATAACTACCATAATTAAGACAGTGTCTGACGAGACAAAGAAGAGACAGATAGGCCACTGCAATAGAATAGGGAGTCCAGAAACAGATCTACACATTAATTGACACTACCTGATTTATGACAAAGGTGACTATATAACAGTGGAGAAAAAAAGGTTCTTTAATAAATGATATTGAGTCAACTGGATATCCATATTGGGGAAAAAATAAATCTCAACTTCCACTGCATAATGTATGCAAAATCAATTCCAGGTGGATTGCAGAGCTAAATATGAAAGGTAAATCAATAAACTCTCTAGAAGATAACATAGGGGGGCCATAAAGGCAGCTTTAGGTATACGGTAATTTTTTTATTTCTTGTTTCTGAGTGATAATTACACATTGTGATCACTTTATAATAATTAACCAACCTGCACACTTAAAATTTGCACACTTTTATGTATTTATGTTGTGCTTTAGTTAAAATGCTTATTAAAAAAAAAAAAAGGCAGCCCAAAAGAAAGGATTATCTTTAAAGAAATGGCTGTTAGATTCACACCTGACTTCTCAACAGCAACAGTGGACGTCAGAAGTCATTAAAATGGTATCTTAAGTGTGCTGAACGAAAATAACTCCCTACCTAGAACTCTTTACCCAGTGAAAATATCTTTCACAAATGAAGATGAAATAAAGATATTTTTAGACAGGTGTATAGCTTTCCTCCGAGTCAGGATGGGCACATATATCAGGATGGCCTGATAAAATAAGATTGAATCTGGAAGCAGTATACTTGTTGCTGTCAGTGCTCTCTCCAAACCATTTGTCAACCCTCCTTCCCCTCTTCACTTTCTCAGATGTCTAGGTTTGGGACCTGAAATTCTCCATCACCAATAACGCCTCCCCCCAAATACTTCTTTCTCTTTCATGTATGCTGCCACAGGCTCCGGACGCGCAGGCTCAGCGGCCATGGCTCACGGGCCCAGCCGCTCCGCGGCACGTGGGATCTTCCCGGACCGGGGCACGAACCCGTGTGCCCTGCATCGGCAGGCGGACTCTCAACCACTGCGCCACCAGGAAGCCCAATTACTTTTTTATTCTTGATTTTTTTCTCTTTAAAAAATTATCTGCGGGGCTTCCCTGGTGGCGCAGTGGTTGAGAGTTCGCCTGCCGATGCAGGGGACGCAGGTTGGTGCCCTGGTCTGGGAGGATCCCACGTGCCGCGGAGCGGCTGGGCCCGTGAGCTATGGCCACTGAGCCTGCGCGTCCGGAGCCTGTGCTCCGCAACGGGAGAGGCCGCGACAGTGAGAGGCCCGCGTACCGCAAAAAAAAAAAAAATCTGCTTCATAATAGAACCAGATGTTCTATCACCCATTTAAAGCAAAAGCAAAAAATCTCCTTTGAATCTTCCTCCAACTACTGCCCATTTTTCTGCTCTCCTTTACAGCAAAACTCTTCAAGAGATGTCTGTACTTGCTCTCTGCTCTCTGACTCCTCCCCCATTCTCCCTTTAATTCAACTCAAGTCTTCTTTTCCCAATACTCAAACTAAATTGCTTTTGTTAATAATAATAGCAAACATTTATGTATTGCCTTCTATGTACCTGGCACTGTTCTAAGCCCTTTACATGTATTAACTTAGTGAATCTTCACAACAGTCTTGTGAGGTAGGTACTGTTACTGTCTCATTTTACTAATGAAGCATAGGTTAAGTAAATCATCCAAGGTTATTACACCTAGTAAGTGGCAGCATCCATGATTTGAATCTAGACAGTCTCCCAGAATCTGTTCTCTTAGATCCTACTGCCTCTTTATCCTCTTTATGTAAGTCCAGTGGTTAGTTCTCTGTACTTATCTTACTTTACCTCTCAGCAAAGCACTTTCTTCACTTGATTTCTCAGAAACTACACTCTTCTGTCTCACTATCTATTCCATCTCAGTTCCTTTACTGGTTCTTCTTCCTCTTCCCAAATTGTAAATATTGGAGTGCTCCAGGGTTTAATCCTCTTTAATCTTCTCTCCTCCACTTATATTATTCCTAAGCCCATGACTTGAAATACTATTCTTATGTTGTCTATAGTCCTAGACTCTCTTGAACTGCAAACTCATGTCCATGTAGCTACTGAATTTTCCTCTTGGATATCTAATGGCTCTGGCCTAATAGGAACAACCCAGATCTCTAGTTAATGGTGTCACCATTCACTGAGAACAAAAACAGACCACTCACATCCCATGTCAGTAAGTCCTGTCAGCTTCATCTTCATAAATAAATCCCTAGTCTGTCTGCTTCTCATCACTTCTGTTATCCCCAGCTGTATCTAAGTCTCCATCATCTCTTTCCTGGACTACTGCAGCAGTTTCTAATTGGTCTTCCTTCAGGTGTTCTCATCTATCTTCCTTTGGTCTGTTCACAGTTCAGCAGATAGAATGATCTTTTTTTTTTTTTTTTTTTTTTTTTTTATGAAGTTATTTATCATTAACATTATTTGCAAACAAGTATTTTAAACTATAAATTATTACCTCAGACCCTGATCTCCCTATAATCTATTCACCATACAGCAGCCACAATAATCTTTTAAAACTGTAAATTAGAAAATATCACTTGTCCGTTTAAGTCCTTCCAATGGTTCCTCATTGTTCTGAGAATAAATTTCAAATTCCTTTTCAAATTCTACTTAGTCCTACATGATACCTTTTTGTTTTTTTTTGTTTGTTTTGTTTTTTTGTTTTTTTTTTTCTTGCGTTATGCGGGCCTCTCACTGTTGTGGCCTCTCCCATTTGTGGAGCACAGGCTCCGGACGCGCAGGCTCAGTGGCCATGGCTCACGGGCCCAGCCGCTCCGCGGCATGTGGGATCTTCCCGAAACGGGGCACGAACCCGCGTCTCCTGCATCGGCAAGCGGACTCTCAAGCACTGCGCCACCAGGGAAGCCCGAATGATCTTTTTAAAACAAATCACATCATTCTCCAGCTCAGAACTCTCCTTGTTTTCTATCACACTTAAAAATCTAAACTCTTCACTATGGCTTATAAGGCCCTCTATGGATCAGGCCCCTTTCTTTTCTACCTCTCCATCTTCATCTGCCATTTTAACCTTCCTGTTCCTCTCCAGCCCCACTGACCTTGCTGTTGTTTTAACACACCAAAGTCCTGTCCAGCTTGGGAGCTTTTGTACTTGCTGTTTCCTCTGCCTGGGATAGTTTTCTGTAGGATTTTACCTGACTTGCTTCCTTGCTAGATGCCATTTCTTCAAAGAAACATGTTCTATACCCTTGCCCTGCTTTATTTTCTTCAGAGCACTTACTGTTAGCTAATTGTTTACTTGTTTATTATCTGTCTCTGTCATTAGAAATTACACTTATACAGGAAGAGGCTTTGTCTCATTCAATGCCTTTTCCTGTCATATTGTAGGCATTCAATAGATATTTGTTCAATAAAGGGAAAGAATGAGTACTCTGAAACTGCATTCCATGAGTCCCTTTCCTTTGCCTACTCCTTTCTTGTCCCCTTCCCCCCCCACCTCCCCACACCATCTTTTTTCTATTTTATTTTAGTATTCTAGTCCTTACTTCCTTATTTTTGTTTCCATGAGTGGAAACTTGTTATACTGGGAGGTCTACAGGTGATAGTAGTAGTATGTTCAAATTTTATAAATAATTTGCCTATTCTACCCCATTTTGCTAAGGCGATTTGTGTGGAACTTCTTTCGCCTGGAGAATGAACATCTGAATAACTGTGGTGAATTCCGTGCTGTGAGGGACATCTCTGTGGCCCCTCTGAATGCAGATGATCAGACGCTTCTAGAGCAGATGATGGACCAGGAAGACGGGGTACGAAACCGCCAGAAGAATCGGCCATGGAAGTACAGCCAGAGCATATCCCTGCGCCGGCCTTGCCTTGCTTCTCAGTATGTATAGCTTCCACTTCTGTGAGATGAATTCCCTTCAGGTTTTAGTACTGGATAACATTTAAGTTAAGAAGCTATCAGGTTGAACCAGGTGAAATTGCTGGCATTCAACCGTGTTTCACCACAAAAACCAGCAATAACAGCAGTTTCATATGATCCAACCTATATATAGAATGTCTTAATGAACACATAGTGTAAAATGTCATTAATATGTTAATTAATACATTAATTAATACTTACTAATTTGGCATTAAAAGTACACTGGGGAAAATTTGTTGGAAAATAATTTACTTGACTCTTCAGTGTATCTTGTATAAAAATCATTTCCAAGTTATAAACTTTAGGAATCCTGGTTCTGCCACTTGCCATCTATGTCATCTTGGCCAAATCACTTAATTTCTCTATATTATCCCTCATCTCTAAATTGGGATTAATATGGTCCTGCTCATAGGGTGGCTGGTTAGATTAAATTTGTCATGACATGGGATTTAGACCAGTTTCCTCACAGAAAGAGCTCGCTAAGTGTAAGGTATTATTATTTTTACTTTTTTACTAAATACCTACAACAGTATTTTTATCAGTCATTTACTTTGTATATTCCTAAAAGTAACAATAAATGTAGGGTATATTGTGGGTGCATTTGAAATTTAGAGACAGTGGATAGCACAGTGGATTGGAGTGAAGGAGGAGACAGGTTGAGCATGAGCAGTTTTCTAAAGGATAAGGGAGTGTTTGAATAGGTTAGAGGCACAGTAAAGACATAAAGGTGGAAATGAGGGGCAGAAAGAAAAGCCATGTGACTAAAACTAGTAACAAATAGTAAAAAAATTTAGCTGAATAGATGAAGTATGATTGTAGAAGGCTGAAAAGTACAAGCTTGATCTTGTAGGCAGGAAGGAGTCACAGAGAATTTTTTCATAGAATGACATTATGAAAGTAATATTTTCATAAGTTTTAATGGCACTGTGCAACATATATTGGGAAAGGGTAAACTCAAGGCCAGCCCAACTAAAAGACCATTGCAGTATTCTTAAGTATGGAACATTAAAGACTTGAATTAGGATGCTTACAATAGGACTAAAAAGAAAATAAGGAAACATTTTAAAGGAAGTAAAAATTAAAAAAAAATAGGAGGTGGTAATAACCCACAGGGGCACAGAGTAGAAATTGCCTGAGGTTTAGATAGAATTTAGAAGTTCTCTGAAGAGGAGAAGGTAGAGAAAAGAAAATCAGAGCAAGGAACTGAGTCTTAGGGAACAAACACGTGACTCATGCAACCTTTAGCACATCCTTAACTTTTTGAATGTCTATTTTCACCTCTGTCGAGTAATAATAATAATACCCACTTCACCTCATGGGGCTTGTGAGTTGCAGAACATTTTGACATTATCTAATCCCATTTTTCATCCCATGCAGGAATGTCTTTTACAACATCCTGAATAATTGGTCATCTTATGCTGATTGACAGTCATCAGGGATAGTGAAGTTTATAACTATACAAGGCACCTGCTTTTATTGTTGGATAGTTATCATGGTAGATAGCTTATGTTGAAATATGCTTCACTATAATTTCAACCAGTTGATCCTGATTGGGCTTTCTAACATAACTTAGTTTTCTGCCTCTTCTATGTATACTTTGTTAACTGATTGAAGACACCTGTCATGTCTCTCCTTAGGTCTTATCACCTGCTGGCCAACTCTCCTCGTTTTTCATGTGTACCTCAAATGATTCTTCTATCATCCTTATCATAATTCCTTATATTTGTTTAATGCTTTACTGATGTTTTTTATATCCATTTTCTCACTTGATACTCATACTATCTCCATGAGGTGAAAGCAGTATTTTGTAAAATAGGTATTATTATTCCTGCTTTACAGAGATGAAAATTGTCACTCAAAGAGGTTAAAGAGATACGTCATAAAGTCAAAGTCCCTCCATTGCACATGACCTGGCATTGTTTTTGTTTCCTTCCTCTGGTTGCAATCTAGTTTCTTAGTGTTTTTCCAGTAATACCAGCAATTGAATACGAAACTCCAGGAACAGTCCATCTGCTGTCCAACAGTGTATGGTGCCTGTGCCTGGTATTTTTAATGGTAGTAAGATTGGAAATGTACGTAATACTTTGAATGTGTTTGTATTTTAGTAATGGACTAAATATTTTTTTTCCTCTTATTACCACTAGATCCAAGGCTCGTGACACTAAGGTATTGATAGAAGACACAGATGATGAAGCTAACACTTGAATCCTCTGAAGTCTAGATTAACATCCTTGGTTTTCCTACTCTACAGTTCTTTCCTCGACCAATGCAACCTCTAGTACCTTTCCAGCCGAAAACAGGAGAAGACATATAACACATTTTCCGAGCTCTTCCAGATCGGATCCTATGGACTCCAAACAAGCTCACTGTGTTTCTTTTCTTTTCTTCTGGTTTAATTTTCATTTTCTACTTTTAAAACAAATATTTACTTCATTTTGCCAATCAGAGGACATTTTAAGGAACAAAAACATAGTATCTTATGGATTGTTTACAATCACAAGGACACAGATACCTGTCAGGATGAAGAACAAGCATTGCAAGGACCCTCTGATGGGACGGTCCCGAGATATCTCGGCTTCCGCTTGGCCCGGTTTTGACTGGTTGAAACCGGACATTGGTTTTTAAATTTTTTGTCTGTTTATGTGGAGAATTTTTTCCTTTCCTTCATACCCAGCGCAAAAGCACTGGCCGCACTTGCAGGGAAAGTGCAACTTAGAGCAGTACCTTCATTCACGAAGCTACTTTTTAATTTGATGTAACTTTTCTTATTTTGGGGAGGGTTGCTGGGTGGGTGGGAAATATGATGTATTTGTTACATATGGTTTTCTCATTATTTATGAAACTTAACCATAAAAGAATGATATAACTCCTGTACAATGAAGGTGATAACAGTGAAAGAAGACAGGGGAAACTAATGTTGGACAGCATTTATGAGGGTTTAGTCCACAATACCTCTTTCATGAGACAACTTGCACCAGTTTGACTTTTTCTTTCCTTTCTTTTTAATTTTAAGCCAAAGTTTTATTACTGATTTTTTACGTTGCTGCTGCTTTAGAATCCTGAGCATGTCTCTCATAACAAAGCATCCACACACTTCCACACAACCAGTTGAAATTTCTTTAAGAGCTCTGATACTTTTTTCTTTAAAGGAACAGATGTGGAATACATTTGCCCATATTCCAACCACAACAACTGAAGTTATGCCTTATTAAGCTTCAGCATGTATGGTAATTGAAGTACAGCCTTTACTAACTCAGAATTAGAAGACAGAGCTATTTCAGAGACTCTCTACACCCTCATTGGATAGTTTTTCTTCTGGGCCCTCTTACTTTAGCCAGAATTTGATCAAATTCAAAGTCTGTCTTGGGGAAAAAGAGCATAGAACAAATTATCCTTCCTCTTTTACATTACAGGGATAAGACAGACCTTAGCAGCCATTTCTCCCAGCAGTTTTTTTTGTTTTTTGTTTGTTTGTTTGTTTGTTTGTGGTACGCGGGCCTCTCTGTTGTGGCCTCTCCCATTGCGGAGCACAGGCTCCGGACGCGCAGGCTCAGCGGCCATGGCTCATGGGCCCAGCCGCTCTGCAGCATGTGGGATCTTCCCGGACCAGGGCACGAACCCTTGTCCCCTACATCGGCAGGTGGACTCTCAACCACTGCGCCACCAGGGAAGCCCTCTCCCAGCAGTTTTAAAGGATGAACATTGGATTTCATGCCCCTCCTATGATAGAAAAACTACTTTTAAAATTTGGGGGGCTTGAACTTGGTTATACACAAAAAGTATTTCTTAGAAATTTCAGACTATCATGGTCTGTACATAATGCTCATTTTCACTTCTTTGTCTAATTTCTTTCCTATTTCCTGAGTCATCCAGATAAGCCCAAAAGCCATAAGGGATTTTACTTTCTTGAATGTGGTTGGCATTAAATTTAGTATTATCACTTACTTAGTATTAAAAACATATGGTTACTACCCCTTAGTATACCCTTTTGTCATCAGCTCTTCTCTCATGTATCACAAGTCTTTTACTCATCCCTGTCGTAATTCCAGTAGATTAATTAAAGTTCCTGTTACTACCAAAATTCTGCCAATTAACTGACAAATAGTTTCTTTTTAAAGGAGGTTTTTTTTTTTTCATCTTTATTCTTACAAGTTCCCCAAATCTGTTCCCTTCCTGAATCGAGATTTTTTTTTTTTTTTTTCCTGAAAAATCATAAAACTTTGTGGCCTTTATTGCTTTTTTTGTTTTGCCAAGCATGTTCCTTGGCCCAAAACTGAAGAAGAGAAGTTTAATTTGGGGTTTTTTTTTTTTTTTTAGTTTAAATAAATTGAATCATTTATAATAACCAGTGGTAACAATTTAGTGACCTTTAATAGTTTAAAGGTTACATTATTTATACTTGGGATTTTTTTCTAACTATTCTGGTTTTGTACTTTAAAACTATGGGGGAAATATCACTGGTCTATCAAAAAGTAGCAGTAATTATTCCTGAATTACATAGGTAAGTCCAGTGGACCAGTCATTTCCTGTACAAATAAAATTGGTGGTACTAATGTGTATCCAGAGCAATTTGAGTTGTCAACTTCATTCTTACTAGTAAACCTATATAGTGACACACATAAAATCTTACAGTTGACTTCTGGTATTTGAATTCTCCAGTGTTTTTACTTCAGTGTATCCTATGACCAATTTGGTCTTTCTTCAACTATTATGATTCTAGGCCCTAATCAGTATTATTTTTTTCGTAGGTAATACAATGTTAGAATGTATTATTTTTCTGATGTTCATCCTATCAGCATAGTCTATTCAAGAATGATAAGGCTTATGTAACTTTCAACTTACTATGACAGTTACTCAAATATGTACTTAAACACAACAGCTTTATGTTCCTCCTAAAGCTATAAAGAGCAAAGAGGGCTTTTCCTCATCAGGAGAAAATGGTTTGGGAGACAGAATATATATTTAATTTTTTTCTCCGAAAAAGGCATTGTGCATTTTTCTCTCCTAAGTTCTATATGCCCTAGCCATTGTGAATGCTATATCCTACCTAAAATTTTATTGGAGCTTCTTGTACACTGAAACTCTCAATAGAACTCTTAGGAAATGAATGTCACAGAGTCATTTTAAAGGAGCAGCAATCTAACCAAAGGTAAAACTTCATCTGATTTTAGGTTTAGAAATTCTAGCTTTATTTTATTTGAGAATCACTCAATTTGATATCAGTTAAAATACTCCCCAAATGAATGAAAAGGAAATATAAAAAATGAATAAAATTCCTTTTTCATTTTATGAAAGAAAGTATGGAAAGCATTGATTTGTGTAGAGAAAGTAAAAGACAAAAGTGGCTTATTTTCTATGCACAAATATGCACCTATTATTAAGGCTGCCTATACTATTAAAATGGAGTCACTGAGGAGGATTTCATACCAATACAGAGAGACAATAAAATGATCAAACATTAAGTCATCATTAATTAGGTTATAATAGTTATTTCTAAGATTGGAAAGATGTTGAAAACCTATGTGCATCTTTCTTTTCTGGTATCAGCCATTTTTCTCCTTAAGAAACCTGCTTAACTTCAGATTCAGAAACAATGATGTGAGAGGAAAATGCCAGTCACCTCAGCAGTAACATGTATGAACCCTTAAAGAAGGAAAATGGAGCCCGGCCCCTAGGATTTGTGACATCCCAATATTCTCAACATAAGAGTTCTAAGATTTTAACAGATTTTACTAGAAGTAACTTGTTGCTATATGGTATCCTTCTACCATGATTTGACCAAAGTACAGTCATGATAACTAGAGAAAGCAGTTCATCCTTTCTTAACTAAGGCAAGTTAAGAGTAGAAAAAAGTAGCCTATTACTGAGCATACAGGCATCAGATTAACAGACATTTAGTTGAAGAGAAATAAAATAATTGTGGAGATAGCAGAGAAGAGCAAAAGGATGTTGGACCTTGGCAGCAGGGCAGTTAGGAAAGTATATGAGCTTGATGGCATGGAGGTTACAATGCCTTGCTGTCTCTCCTTTCAGTGGTTATACAGCTGGTAAGAGACCTGCCTTTGTTTTCCTACCATCTTTCTCCACTACTTTGCTTTATTCAGGAAATAGTTCTTTATGCCCAAGTGCAATTTTCTAAGCAATGACTAGAAAAAGTTCTTAGTCTAAGAAAAGTAATTTAGAAAATAACTCTATCCATGGCATTGTTTTATTCAAAAACTTAGGTTTCTCTGAAGTGATTGCACTTTATTTGGTAAACGAATTTCAGATTATTGTTTTCTGTAATAGTTTGCATGAAATTTTCTAGCTCAAAAAAATAAGTACTTCTTGCTATACAACATTGAAATTTTTAAAATTAAGATAGCTTCTCAGATTGAAAAAAGTTATGTTGAATCTAAGGCTTTCTCAACTACAAAATCCCCATACTTTTAACAAATCTAATTTTAAAAGCCAACAATAAATAAGATCAATGTCACTAGGTTAAGACAGTAAAAGTTCTAGGAGAACTTCAGGAAAAGTTAGATAAAGAGGAGTAAATCAAATTTATGAGCTTAATTCATTTTATGACACATCTAACTTTTATTTTTTGCTTTGGATGATTAGCTGAAACAAGGAAAATTAAAGAGATTTTGTAAATTACTTAAACACACTTCATTTCTGCATTTCAGGTATCAGTGTTGATAGTAAATCTTAAAAGCTAACTCTCTGCATTGTATTTTCAGTCTATACGATGTCAGAGCACAGTGGTAATGTGGGATAGAGTTGATTATATTAGAGCATAAGAAATTTGTGCTGGCCAATGCTACAAACCATTAATTCAACCAGCATTAAGCCACACTACTCACCAAATATGGAAAAATAAAAGCATTTCATTAGATTTGGAAGAGCTTAGTTTAAGTGATATGAGAAGTTTGCCTGGGAATGGAGAGGAGCCTGCTGAATGGAATGGCTCATAATGCCTTTCTGGTATGAATTAGCAAAACTCTGATATTGAGTTGCCCCTTAAAAACAACCTTCCAGAATGAATTTGCTTACTCACTGTGGAAGAGGAAGTCAGAGGGACAAGATGAGAGTTTCCCCTGAAGAGAAGAAAATCATTATACTGCTTCTCATCTAAAGCATGTTTCCTTGTACCAGACCTTTGGTTCATTTTATTATTAAATCGAAGCCACCTTCAGTTTTGTTTGTTTGTTTTTGTTTTTATT